ACGGAGGTCTCTGTTAGCAAGCGCGGTGCTCGACTCTGCAACAAGCCCACTTCCTCTCTTGACTCTCCCGTCTGTGCAAGGCTTGGCGTCGAGCACGCGTCCTTCTCGCAGAAGATCCCCACGATGTCCAACAGGGCGTTGTTCCTCTTTTTGCAGTCTCTTACGCATGTTGGCAACACATTCTGGCCTTTGCACAGGTCCTCACAAATATTGGCCTTGTCACATGAGTAGGGCTCAGGAACTGTGGAAGCCCCGTAGTGGTGGCTCTTGTTCGCAGCCTCAGCCAAATCCTCAATGGCATCCTTGATGTGATCCATGAGCTGGTCCACAGCCATGTTCAGCTTGTCGATGGCACCGTTGATGAGCTCCTTCTTCTGCTTCTTGGCGACCGTGATGGTGGCGCAGCCTACGCGAACTCCAGCGGAATCATAAACCACCGCAGCCCGACCGTTGATCTGCGCAGCTCCAAAGCCGGAGGTCACAGAGACGTCATTCGCTGCTGTCGGCAAGGAGCCCTGGATCACATACTTTGCATCCTGCCAAGGGTTTGTCGAGACGAGCTGTTTGTTCCAATAGGGGTCACCGATAGACGCATCACTTGAACAGTCCATGCCCTCGTGGATGGCAACAGTGCAGCAGTTCGTGGCACTGCAGGGTCCCGTGCAACCAGGGTCCACCCCTTGTGTGAAAAGCCAGCTCAACGTCTGAGTTTGATCGTCCGACTCCACCTGCCCAGAGCAATTACACATGTCTGCACCATCATCACCATCTGTCTATTTGTAAGCAGAATTGCCAAGCCCTTCAGGCCTAGTTTGACCTGAAACTGATACTCATCCTGCCGCGAGCAAACAAGCTTTGCCCCTGGAATCCCCTGCAGGCCCCGCTCCACCCCACCCCCAATCTCCTCACGCATGCGCCCCCGCCCTCCCTTCTAAAAAGTCAGCTGCAAAGGCCTTGACTCCTCCAGACGTGAGAGGAAGGTTGCCAGGGTAGCCGGGGTACTCCACGAAGACCGTGGTGCTAGGCTCCTCCAGGCTGGAGATGGCTGAAGGGTTGTTGCGCTCTTGGGGTTTACCATGGAATTTCAGTTAAAAAGTTTAGCTCCTGGTGTGCAAAAGGCTATACGACTACTGACCATCTTCACCAGAATTTGACATCATGTTGCGGGTCTGTCGCCTACGCGCCAAGCAGTACATCATTGGACTACGTGCCACGACCTGGCGAATGCGATCTATGTCATGGTGTGAAACACAGCAAAGACTCTATAGGGCCTCATCACTTACGTTCCAAGTCCCTAGGCTCACAGGGGACATGCCATTTCGAGCATGCTGCAAAAAAAACACACGAAATGGGTCCGGTCAATGCAGAACGGCAGTCGTTACGTGACTGAAGCCAGACACATAAGTGCTGGCGTCCGTCTCTTGAACC